CGCAGCATTTAGAAAAGGGTTAGAGAACGAGTTACTATTTTTAATGCTATTAGCTAGCACTTTATGTAGTAACGTAAACATGAAATTGTTAAGAAGAGGTCTAAAAGTTGTACTTTGCAATTGATATCAATTCAATTAAATAGAGTAGTTTTGAGTAGAGTAGAATAGTGGAATATTTTTAAAATATGTCTTAATTACTTAATTAATGTTAAGTATTTTCGGTGAAGCTCAGAATCAGCGCACCTTAACCAACTGATCCAAAGCCGTAGTTGACTTTTATGTTCGCATATATTTCTGGAGTAAAATGAAAATATTAAATTAATTACAATTACTAGTAAATTACTAGGAAACATATATTTAGAAGAAAAATTGTTTATAATAGTGATCTCATATAAGAAATTCGAATTGATTGAACCATTTCTAAAACAAAATACCTATTAGATTAATTACCTTTCCAGGGCAAGCAAATTGAAATCTCCATCATTTATACATTCTAAGATTTGGCCATTTGAAAACTAGTCTATAAAACAAATTTTCAAAACAGCAGGGGATATAAACCTCTTAGGAAAAATTTAAAAATTTTTTAATGAGATATTGATATGTTTATTTCAAAACAGAAGTTTAAAAAATACATGTTATCGTCTTCTAATGAAGATGATGATAACAATTTTTATCCAAATCTGTTCCGTTTGTAATCGTCTAGGCGTAGATATATTAGCTTATATATAAATGATCAAACATGATTTTACAGAATTTTTCGAATAATTAAATAATTTGTAGAATTGTAAACTATTTCTTTATTTGTTAATCCATTATAGCATTAAATTGCAATTTTAGCTATAAAAGCTGTTAGATATTATTTTTTATTGATATAAAACTAATAATTGATATTTTGTGTCTAATGATGAATTTTGTTCAATCACTTCTTAACTGCAAACACTGCCAATGCAATATGTCCTGGCTACAAAGCACTTTGCGGTGCAGTGCTTGATTAAGCCACCTGCATCCACTCTTCTTTTTTTTGCTGTTTGCAAAAGTCTTTCAATTGAATTTATTATATTTAAATTGAAAAAAAACAAAAAAAACAAAAAAATAACAAAAAAAACAAAAAATGGAAGGACAACCTCACATGTACACTGCAAATACCAACAAAAAGTGTGCATACAAATTGCAGCAAACAACAATCAAGTGTGCAAACGTTGGTCCTTTTATAAGTGTTTGCGCTTGTATATGTGTGTGTGTTTGTGTGCGCGTGTATTTGCTAACCACTACATGTGAAATGCAATTATTTTAAATAAAAATAAATAAAATGAATAATGCAAGTAAAACAAAAATTTAATTTTGAGTTTTTGCTTTTATTTTGAAATTTATTCAGTACTCCAATGTATTTACATGAAATCAACAAAACAAAAAAAAAACACCGAACAGGACATTATAAAGATGCGTGGTCAGTTGTGGTGGACTACATAAATTTCCCATGGACCGCAGTCGTGAAATGCTGCAGAAGACTCAAACGACAGTGGGGGCCGTAAAGATCTGCGCAATCAGTGAGATTTGCGCGCCAAATGGAACCTCTGAACGTTGGATGACGTTCGGCAGCGGGCAGCGCATAGCTACAATAATAATAAAAAAAAAATAAAATATAAAATAAAAAATAAAAATTAAAAAAATAATACACAAAAAGGATACAATCACTTTTTGGAAGAAAGTAAAGAAAAAAAATTGCATAAAATTAAAATTAATGCTTTTCATGTTGTCAACTTTGTGGCACACTTGTTGTTGTTGTTTTTGTTTTTGTTTGTCTGTGTTTTATGTACAAGGACTCTTTGCATTTATTTTTTTTTTGTTGCTATTTTTTATCTCATTGTATTCTTTTTTTATATTTACGCATAAATTTACTTTATTAAGATGCGCACTAAGTCGTGTAAGAGTGAGTATCCTTTCGGCAGGAGCAAATGCTGCGACTCGCACAAAGTACGCATTATGCAGTAGCGTGAATTGTAGCCATGCCTGGTTTTTAATTTACACATAAAAGAGATGAGCAGAAAACGAAATTAAATTATAAATTTTAAATATCCTTCATAAATATGCAAGCTTTTAATTTACATTTCGGCCAATTTTCCGAATAAATCGAAAAATATGCGTTCTGCTTCATTGTAAAAGTGAAGAGTTACGGGCTGCTTAATCTTCTTCCCGCTGCGCTGCACTCTAGTCCGTTTGTCTGTTTTGAAATTTTTATCGGAAACATTTTCAACATTTTTGCACCAATGCAACATTTTCTCATAGTTGGATTTGTGGAAATTCTTATAAATATTCTCTTTAGGACACCGCCACCATTTTTGTTTGTGTTGCTGACGCGGCTGTTGTTGTTGTTGCTGTTGTTGCTGTTGTTGTCGAACTGCGTTTATATCCTGCCGTTGCATTTGCCTTTGCCTTTGCCATTGTCGTTGTTGCTGTAGTTGTTGTTGCTGCGGTAGCAAGCGGAAATACTGTTGATTTTTCATTGTCGCATATTTTCTTTGCCAAATTTTTTTATTTGTCACATTGCTAGTTGGTACAGAAACTGCATTCCTCAACTCATTGTGATAATCATCATCAAAGCTGTGATAATAATAATGTTGCTCAGTTTGATTTGGCTGCCAATGAAGCCAAGGTTGTGTTGTCGCAACGGTTTTTGTTGTTGCTGGTGTTGTTGTTGTTGTTGTTGGTGGTGGTGTTGTCGGTTTTCTTCTGCTTTTATAAAGAATTTCCTTTGATTTGTGTACGAACATTGAGGTTGGCAAGGAATAAGTTAACGCATATTCTGATATGAGAACTAAGCCGCGTGGTCGCTCGCCAATAAATGCTTTGGCAAAGTTACCTTGAATCTTCAAGGATACACAATTTATAACCACAACAAAATAAATATAAAAAAAAATTATCTTTTATTTACTGTAACAAAAATAATTTTCAACTTTAAATTGTAAATTGTAAAGTATTACTTACCACAAAACTGGCGCCGTCTTCAAATACCAGATAACGTCTTAAGCGATTATGCGCTTCCAAATTTTCCGGCATTGCAGTGTTAATATCAGTGGAAGTATTTTCATATAAAATACCATTTATCATTTTTTTATAATTCCATAAAATGAAGAAAATGCAGAGTACTAGTTTAAAATAAAACATTTTGTTACATTTGTGCTATAATGTAAAGTTTATAATAAAATAGTTATGTCTTTACTCATGTCAAGCAACTACTGAAACTGTAACGCTTTGTAGTAATGCGAAACATGTCAACTGCAATTAGCACTATTTCTGACAAGAATATAAGTGGATTCTAATTGAAATAAACAAAACAGAGGAATTCAACTAATAAGCAGATAAATAGTTAGCAAACTATTAATTGGAATAAATAGGATGTAATTAGAACCGAGAGAGAACGATGAAGATAGGTGTAATCGAAAAGAATTGCTGAGGTCGATGAGCCAATAAGAAGGAAAGATGAGTTATGATTTCGTAAAAATAATTTTAAAATGCCATGCATATCGTAGCTAAAGTTTTGTATGTATTGTATATTAGTATTGTTCATACTAATATTCATATTCATTCATACGATTTTTATTTAATGAGAGATGCTATTTAACCCGCAAGACTTTATAACTTAAAACCTACTGAAAATTAATGAACTATTCAAACAATTCAAATACTAGTTTAGCCATACTTCAACAAGTCTCAAAAAATGGTGCTTATCATAGATCGTTTAATGCACATTGTGAATTATCCAACTGGCAAAGCAAATTGCAATTTTTCATTAAAACTAGTGAACTTGCGACCACGAATAAATGTAACTTAACACTTTTTGTGAATGCCTTTAGCTTTTAGATTATATAATGTATACATATCAATATAATAAAAATATATAAAAAAATATATATGAGACAGGTATTATATTAAGTGATATAAAAAATAACCGCCGTTTTTTATCACTAAGACAATCGATGAAATAATATAACTGGTGGAGGAAGCTATCAGGTGATAGTGGAGACTCTAAATAACTTATGCATGGTCAGCTTGAATTCATTTAAAAAAGGAAGCTACGCAAAGTTGTCCGATGTTTAGTTGCTACATAAATTAATATCAAGAAATTTTAAAAATTATTTATTGATGGTAAAGTAACCGAATTACATCGGTAAAATACTGCTGAAACGCAACGTAATCGAACCATTTTTGAGGTGAATCAATGTGAATGGTAAAAAGTGGATTATAGAAGAAAATGTCAAAAATACACGATCTTAGTGTAACGTATGTGACCCTCTTTAAATGACTTCAGAATCTGAATTGATAGCAAACAAAGTTATGTTCAGTGTTGGGTAGGATTGAAAGATAATTGTCTATTACAAGCTCCTCCAGCCTGCTGTAACGGTTAATATAGTCCTCGCTACTCACAACTCGACCGCTTTAATGCAACAATCAAAATTCGTCAGGCTGTAGAAAAATACCCGAAAACTTATTTTAAATGTTTTGATGCAACCACCGTATAGCCCGAGTTTTGCACCGTCGAACTACCATTCGTTGCGAACTCTGCAAAACTTTATTAATGGTAAAAAATTGGTGACCTTAGAGTCGCTAAAAATAACTTGGTCAAATTTTGCGCCCACAAAACATAAAAATTTTACACCGCACTGAAAAAATGGCAAGAAGTCATATATAATAATGGCCAATATATAAATGATTAAAATTAATTTTTATTAAATGAAATTTAGTGTTAAAAATGTACCAGTAAACGCGATTACTTCTTATATCAAACATTAAATTATAATTTTCATCTTGCTTCTATACATATTTATATATGTTTCTATCGATAGAACTTTATAACTGTCTTTGAAATTAATTTTTGTAAATATAAATAATTTCAACACTCAGCTGTACTAACAGTTGTTTATAAGTGCTTATATATATTTACAAATCTTTGTTCTCTTATACGTGTATTTATATTATAAATATCTGCTATAGCTTTTTAGATACTCAAAATTTCCACTTCATCCAACTTTAAGTCTTCAGTTTGCTCAAAACGAAATATCGACTGCGCCAGATTTCTAATTAAAGATTTCTTTTAATAAAGTTTGGACAAAAACAAAAAGAAATATTCATAATTCTGTTCCAAACTCTTTACAACTGTAATCTACAAACAAAGACTACCAATTTCACTTCAACATCTTAGAACTTTGCTGCTAAGCTCTTAAACACACACTACGAGTTTATTAATTAATTTAATTATCAACTTAAACTTGACCAAGTTAAGAACAAAACACTACGCAATGGAAAACTATTGGAACGCCAGCAGCAACATCGCGACAATGAAGTCAATACAACAACTTTTAATCAATAAAACAAAACTGAACTTAATTCAAAAAGCAAAATGACACTTCAGTTTGATGAAAGTGCTTCAGTGCAGAAATAAACATTGATCATCCACAACGCACCGAGCAGCTTTTGTTGTAGCGCATAGCACAACATAGCAGTGTATAGCACAGCATAGCAGTGTATAGCGCAACATAGCAGTGTATAGCACAGCATAGCACATTATAGTATAACAGAGACAACGTCAACATCAGTGACAGCAAACACCAATTCAAACAGCTTCAACCATTCAACCGCACTTCATAGATTCTGCCTTATAGTTAGAGATTGGTTCATACGGTTATTGTTGCCACAATCAGAGCGTCAATCAAGTTAAAAATGTTGCCAAAGCAACGAACTTTGATTTTGTTAGTGTTGTTGTTTTTGTTTTTGTTTTGTTTAAAGTTTGGCAACAATGTAAACGCTGCAGTCAAAGTAAATGCCGACGATGCCAAGGAGCAAATATCAACAAAGTCTCGAACTGGAATCGAAACTACTCTGAATGTCAATGAAACAATGATAATTGAGGAACAAGCAATGAAAACTAATACACAGCCGAAGGGCGATGAAAATGACAGGCGCGCATTGTCGAGAAGAAAACGTTTTATTGGATTTCCGCAAGGTTCTTCTTTTTCGGTAAGTGTGAATAACTCTTCTTCGGTGTTCAATAAAAAATTGTGTTAATTTAGTTGATTTACATGGAAGAGAACTTAATTATAAGATCAATTCAATGTAAAAAAACAAATTTTCAATTTTTTAGAAAGCAAACAAAAGAAAGAAAGAAAGAAAGCTAATAAGTGAAAACTTTGGGGAATAAAAATAGAGAAAGACATTAAGTGTTAAAAATAACTAAAGTAAACTCTACTTATTCAGTTATTTTAACACTAATAACATTATTAGATTGTAAAGGTCACTATTGTTCTCTATTTTGTCAATTATTATTTAGCTGCTGGTATTTTTAACAGTATTTTTAGTGTTATTTTATTATTTAACACAGCGTAATGTAATATTTGAGTTAAATAATGAGCTCGTTAACTTCAAGTACACTAGAGAATAATAAGTTACAATACAAATGCAAAAACTATGTGCAAAAAATCAATTTATAACACCTATGTTTTCTTTCGATATTTCAATCTAGTTCTAGTACATACATGTTTTGCACGGTTGTCCCATATATATTCTATATATTATAGTATTTTTTATTAGTATGTAAAGTTTTATTCTGTTTCAAACTGTTATTTATCCCTTTAACTTAACAGTGAATGAATTCTTTTTAAATATTAACTTAAAAGCTATATCTAATATTATTCCCATTTACATTAATAATATAATTTGTAATAATAATTGATTAATTGAATAGGTTCATATATTGTATGAAAATCAGAGTTCGTATTTGTGTACCCATGAGCGGCTCATTTTGGCTCATTCTGCTCACGGCTCATGAGCCTGCAAAAAACTCTTTTCATACGATGGCTCACGCTCACGAGCGAGCACAACTACAGAGCTCACGCTCTCGAGCAAGAGCCGCCATTAAGTTTTAAATGGGCTCACGCTCGTGAGCAAGAGTATGAGCTGCGGCTCATGAGATCTCATGCACCCAATTTAAGATTTTGCTCTTATTTTTTTTTGTGAAAACATTTCATTAAAAAAGATTTAAAATATTAATAACCTAGCAGAGTTCGTATTTGTGTACCCATGAGCGGCTCATTTTGGCTCATTCTGCTCACGGCTCATGAGCCGGCAAAAAATTATTTTCATACTATGGCTCACGCTCACGAGCGAGTACAACTACAGAGCTCACGCTCACGAGCAAGAGCCGCCATTAAGTTATAAATGGGCACACGCTCGTGAGCAAGAGTATGAGCTGCGGCTCATAAGATCTCATGCGCCCAATTTAAGATTTTATTATTATTTTTTTTTGTGAAAACATGTCATTAAAAAAGATTTAAAATATTAATAACTTTGAATAAACTATAATATGGAAATATTCAAAGTTCTTAAAATAAACAATAAATATATTTGTATTGTTTATTTGTGGAAAATAATATTTTATAAATTTGTTTTTCAAATTCAAATTATTGTTTCATTATATTGCTTTAATATAAATAATAATAAGCTAAGTTGATTTCAAATTATATATTTTCACATATAACGTTTATAAAAATAAATAAAGCAAATAGACTAATAAATCGCTTTTTATTAAACAGTTGAGCTTGTGAGCTCTCGGCTCGTGAGACCTCATGAGCAGCTCTTCAATATGAGCAACTTGAAGGCTCACGCTGGTGAGCAGCTCTTCAACATGAGCCAATTTTGGGCTCACGCTCATGAGCCAATTTTGGGCTCACATAAGAATTGGCTCTTGCTCATGAGCCTGAGCTGCTCATGAATGAGCAAATACGAACCCTGATGAAAACTAATATAGTGTATTGGTTTTTACAATTAATTAAAACAATATCTATATACCATTGTAATTGTTAATATTATGTTATATCTTCAATATATAAAATATATAAGGAATTTTTGATTTAAATGAAAACATATGTCTTCAAACTATAGTTTAGTTTTATAGTTATTTACTTAGATGATCCTTATGTATGTGAAATCTGAAGAATTTTTGGTCAAAATGAGGATATATATTTTCCTTCTTCTTTCTTTTTTACTGAAGTAAGTATTAATATAGTATTTTCATTTAATAGCAGTTATTCTCAAGAATGAAAGTATGTTTGTTTAGATTTTAATGAACACAAGTCTCTTAACAAGTAAACACACCAACTAACATATAAAAAATAAACCTCAATGATCCTTTTATGAATATATTTGTATTTAGTGCGCTGTTTGTTTAACAACTGGTGTACTTGGTAATCCAAATTATCAATACCTTAGTTTGGGATTAAATTGGGGTATAGCATATAACTTGCCAAATTCATCATGGGTTATTGGGCATGCCAACGGTTTTACTAATTCAAAAGATGATAAAGATGAACCCATGAAAGATGATTCAGCTGATACTTCAACACCTGGCACACCAGCAGTAGATGGAGCCACAGATGATGCTGTTCCAACTGATCTCCCACCAATCGATAGTTTTACAGGTAACAGTACAGATGATAGTAGCAGTGATAGTGGAGATATGAGTCCTAATAAAATGGCAATGAGAATAATTAAACGTAGACATCGGCGTCATCTCTATGATAAGTTGGAGACACTAATTAACAAGTAAGTTAACTCATTTAATAAGCTGTAATAATAATTGTATAAATAATTTTTTATTTTAATCAAATTAATAATACGGTAATATATTGTTGATAAACATTTACTACCTATTCACAAAAAAATTATTTTATTGAAAACAGTTGCAGAATAACATAGCAACAGGTATTGTGAAGCACAATCAGTCCATTTTTATATTTCAACTTATCTCAGTTTTAACAAAAAATTTTTCAAATCAAAATTATTGGATTTAAATTGCTTTCCATCAAACACAAGAATATGTGGCTTCTATCAAAAACGAAGAAATGTTTGTTATAAAATCTTTCTAATCACACAATTGGTTATATATAATCCTTAAAAATCCTTTTTAAGGATTAGATATTTATAAAGGAAAATCTGGAAAATGTTTGTAAATTTGTTTCTATAATTAAAAGTATATTCCTCAAGTAGATTAAAGTTTTGATTATCAGCAAAATAATTTTTTCAATTTAAACCAAAACTATCAGATCACCCAAATCCCAACAGACCAAATAGAAATATTTTATTCTGCTGACCCATCTGACGCGTTCTACACAATTTTTCCCCGTAGATACTCAATTGAATATTATTCCAATTTTTTTAAAACTGTTATTGAATAGTATCACCAAAAACTAAGAGTGGAAGAATTTTGATCGATCGCATTTCATATACAAAAATACAATACAAAAAGAATAATATCATCCATATGCAATCAAACAGAAGACAGCTGTTTATTTTTACCGATAAAACTCTTTATATCGGAAATTCAGACCAATTACTCTATTTATTATCTTTGTAACAATGGCACAGAAATGATTACTGCACAATATATTAGTAAATCTTCTTACCTCCACTAGTAAGAAAAAGAATTTTTGAAGCACTCATATGAAGGTATAAGGATTTACCGTATATAGTGAATTTATAGACTTATATTATATTAATGAACTACTCTATTAAAATTATAATATGACCTGTATCTAAAATTTGGAATATAAAGGTGTGTATAAAGGAAATGCCAAAAAAAATTCGGGACTGCACATATTTCTTGATGAAGGGAGTCCATTCAAAGAAAAATTTTGTATGTTCAAAAAAAAATTCTAGTTTGATTATTTTTTATTAAACTACTCAAATAATAATATGAACTTAGATTGTAACTTAGTTGGAATGACCTGTAACCATTATAATCCAAATAGTGTAAGTATCCAAACGCATCACGGTGATCTGTTATATTAATCGTTGAGAAACAAATATTTTTAAAGTAGAGGTCTTACACTGAGCTAACCGCACAGTCTTGATATTCTTCTTATGATACATCAAGCAACTTATTTTAGTTCAAGTTTTAGTAAAAAAGAAAAGATAAGAAAAAGAATCGCAGAGAACTGATTGAAGTCAAATAGATAACACAGAGTACGTTGTCTATTATTCCCAAGCATTTGCAAGTGCAAGTTGGGTTATGATGTCTTAAGCATGATTGGTATACATAATTGATACTAAGATGCTTAGATTAAGGTAGTTAAGGTAGCTTTCTTTGTTATTTCCTGCCCTACATTGAAGATAAAAACAACTTAAAGATTAATCAGCAAATTTAATTAATTTTTATTTTAATCTAAAGAATCAATAGCACTTTATCAAATGTGAACAATCAAACTGGAACCATTTTCAAGCCAATATAACTATCAAACTAGTGAGTCTATATTTCGCTTAATTATAACTGATTTTGATGTTTTTAAGTGCGTTTGAGTACGAGTATTTACATGTTAATTTATTGTGAAAAACTTTATCCAAACACATATTTGTGCAAAAGCAGTTATTTTTGAATCTCTTGAACATCTTAATGAGGATAAATCTTTCGTGTCTCGAACGATAGCATATTATTACCACCGGAGTGTTAAAAAAGCTGACATGATGAAATCATGGTGGTCACAAAATCTCGCATTAAGTGAAATCTGCGATTAGTGGAAGTTAATTGACTGTTGCTACTTTAAACATTATATTTTGGTAATTGTTGAAAAGCCACAATGAAACTTATTTCCTTTCCTAGACCAAAAATATTGTCTTCGTCTGATTCTTTTGACATGTCGCTTTTCATTCGCCTCAAATAACAATATGTAAACAGAAATAATAATTATTTAAAAGTTAGTTGCAAAATTTGTTAATTTATAAACAACAGAAATTGTCAAACTATAATTTAGAATGACACAAATTAAGTGTACGTTAGCTGTATGTATTAGAAAGCTAGTCCACGCTTCCAATTTAACAGGGTTTGAGTACTAACATTGCAGTTTACAAATTATAGGTGTTTCCAAAGACCACTAGTTATGAATATTTAGTGCTATCCGAAACAGCTAAATGGCTGTCCTCACTTCTTCCTACTTATAATTTGAAATAGATTTATTGCTAATGGACGAATTAATTTTTATTTATAAAAGATTGATATATTGATATTGCTTGATATTGAGATACCTTTTTAAAATATTTCTAACCCTTGGAAAGAACTCTATTTCGAATAAAAACCAAGGTAATAGCAATAGATTTATAGATTTATTTAATTCTTGAAATATTATTCTAGTTAAAAATTTTATGTTATGCTTTATGTTAATTTTCTATTTCCAATAGTATTGGTGGTAATAGCGAGGAAGTCTTCCAATCCAAATTGTATTATTAATCAATTAAATCATGACTTCAGGTTTATATAAAACTCCAGTAACTGTAAAAGGAGTTAATAACTCTTTTAATAAATTTTAATTTCACAAAATTTTTTTTATGTTATTTGATGCAACACTTAAAGCTCAACTTTCATCAAATCTCCTGTTCTACTTAAAAAGTCATCATTTAGCCTGCATTGCCCCCATGCTTGCCAGTGCCAGTGTTCACGCATAAATTTTTTCATTGCTTAGCCTTAGCCTAGGCAAGGAGGAAAAAATGTATTCATTTCTGTGCTCATATTTGCTTGCATTGACACACTTCAAATATTTATGCTTTCCATATATTTTGATGACAACTTTGATTTTGTTTGTTTAACTTTAATAGTTCAATATCGTGCTTCACACATCAAGGCTCACCCACTTTTGGCACCATAACCAGCGATTCCAATATTCCCACATGTGCCATCTCCACCACTGCTCCTAACATAAAAAATATTTCCTTAGCTTGACTTTTGCAATCAAAACTCTTGGCAAAACTGCTTTACATGCTCCAATTGGCATGTAAATATATGGGTGTGAGTATATTTATATAGTAAGTATGCGCTTCCAACAACATACACACAAAAATAAATACACTAATACCATACATCCACTACAACTACCACAACCACTACTGCCAGGACTACCACCAGGACTATTCTAATACAATTCTGCTCACAATTTAGTTTAATATTTACTGATGCAAACGTGCGTTCAAGTCTGTTTGTGGTTACCATAATAAAATATTGGAATTTTATATTAGCATTTAAATTGACCTAATGTGCCATTGGTAGTATCATCAAGCTTTTGGGGTCAGGGCAGGAGTTAACGTTAATGTTAAGGAATGAGGCTAGGCTAAACATTGGTTACGAAACAGAAATATTCGAATTTTATTGCATAAAATTTACTTTGTTGTGGCTTTTAGGCAATTTTCTGGTCAATAGATAATTTGTAAAAAGTACGATTTTCCAATTAGTATAAAATCAAATAGTTTAGTAATATATTTGTGGTAGATTGGTTTCAAACTGGTTAAGGCTATAAGACTATCAGACTATCAGAAATATTATACAATTTCAAAACTTGCTGAGCAAACAACGCATTTCCTTGTCCTTTAATTGTTCATCGATGCTATACGCAATGGCAATGAACATCAACAAATTTGTATTATTATTATTATTTTTATTAAGTGAGCAAGAACTTTTACTAATATTGTTTCGGTAGCCAACAGCAAAATACAATAAAAAATAATTAAAATAGAAAATTAAAAATATTACCAAATAATTGGAAAACATAAATTATTCTTGGAATACAGTTTGTGTATCTAATCAAGGATTTATTTAGTTATTTATTAAAATATTATTATTTAACATTAAAATTACTTTTAAAATTAGCTAAGAATGGGAAACTGGACTGCTAGGTTCTTTGCCCTAAATCAAGTATTTACCGACGATTGAAATACAACACAATAAATAGATGTTGTATATAAAATCTTTCTATAAATATAGAGAGTTCACCTATTAAAATTTATTGCTTTAAATCTGATCTTCTACATATCTATTTTACTCTGTATTCTCTATACGAGCGATAAAAGTTATTACTAATTGCAGTTATTACTCAGTCCAGCAAATATAATAACACTAGTTTACAAATAATTAAAAGTTTTGTTTTCCAAAGACGAGACTTATATTTCCTATAGGGAAATTTTCCGTAGAATTCGAAAATCATAACGATTTTTTTTTCCTATGTACCGTTTTCGAGATATTTGCAAAAAACCGTTATTTTGACTTTTTTCAAAACATCACCCTGCATATTCCCCCATAGCTTTTTTTCTGAAGTTATCTCGGTAGTATATTATATATCAAATTAAAGGTGAAACTTGTACCAATATTTTGAGTTACATAACGTTAATGTATCTTACTTAGTTTCGCTGCTATAGCTAGAAATGTACAGATGAAAAATGTTTTTTTTACGCTTTTTTCAACTTTTTCGATTTTCAAGGTGATGGGACTCCCACAAATATATTAAAAAAAAATTTTTTTTTAATTAATGTTAAAGACTGTTTTAGTACAAATATTTTGAGTGGCTTAACATAAAAATCGAATAAAAATTTCAGAAGTTATTCGCCATTTTCCAAAGTTGCCCAAAATAGTGGGTTTTATTAAGAAGTCAGAAAAATCATTTTTTCGAATTTATTTTGTAAAATTTAGAGTGCAAATCAAAACTGTATTATGCAAAATTGCACAAATTTTATTTAAAAAATTAAAATTAATATTATTTAATATTAATATATTGCATTTTATATAA